TGGGGAGGAAGAATCAACTCGCGCCTGCCTGTGCACAAACCCTAAACCCTAAACCCTAAACCCTCAGGTGCAGCAAGAAGTCGGAGCCAAGCCCTAAACCCTGGAACCAAACCCTAGGCCCCAGACCTAAACCCTAAACTCTAGATTCAAACCCTAGTCCTAAACCCTAAACCCTAGGACCAAACCCTAGTCCCCAGCCCTAAACCCTAAACCCTTGGGCCAAACCCCAGACCTAAACCCTAGGGCCAAACCCATGTCCAAAACCCTAAACCCTAGGACCAAACCCTAGTCCCAAGTCCTAAACCCTAAACCCTAAACCCTAATTACCTCCTCTGCGCATGCCGCAAACGCCTCTTGCAATTCCCTCGGGGACTGGACGAATGAGCCTCTGTGGCTGCTGTTCACTTGCTGCTGTTGTTGCTGCTGCTGCTGTTTCTGCTGCTGCTGCTGTTGTTGTTTCTGCTGTTGCTGCTGTTGTTGCTGCTGCCGTTGTCGCTCCTGCTGCTGCTGTTGCTGCTGCTGTTGTTGCTGCTGCTGTTGTTGTTGCTGCTGCTGTTGTTGTTGCTGCTGCTGCTTCTGCTGCTGCTGCTGCTGCTGAGGAGCAGCAAAGAGGGGCTACTGCAACACGAACGGGAAAACCCTTGAGCTGCCCCCAGCCTTTAAAAGGCAGCAGCAGCAGCGACAGCAGCAGCTGCTGCTGCTGCGTCGCTTCAAACAACGCCCCTACACGCAAACCCTAAACCCTAAACCCTAAACCCTCACTGGAGGCCCTTCTGCCTTCAACTTCTCCCAGGCAGTATATCCCTGTAAACCCTAAACCCTAAAGCCTAGCTGAAGAGGCTCTCCTGCCTTCAGCTCCACCCGGGCCAAATACCCCCGCAAACCCTAAACCCTAAACCCTAGCAGCTAAACCCTAAACCCTAAACCCTACCTGAAGAAGCTCTTCTGCCTTCGAGCTCCACCCAGGCAATATCCCCTGGCTGCAAGGGTTTGCCTTCGCCCTCCTTTTTGTCCAAATATCTGCAGCCCCAAACCCTAAACCCTAAACCCTAAACCCTCGGGTTTAGCGGCGCAGGCGGGGGCTGCAGCCGGCGCTGAGGGCTTGAGGCGCCGGCCTCTGGATTAGGGTTTAGGGTTTAGGGTTTAGGGTTTTGAGTTGCTGCGAGTTCAGCGGCTCGCCGTGAGGCCCAACGCCTAGGGTTTAGGGTTTAGGATTTAGCGTTTAGGGTTTAGGGTTTGCGGGACTGACTGGAAGCCAAAAGAGGACTTTTTGTAAACTTCTCTCTTTGCCATTTTTTCAAAATACTCTTTTTTGTCAATTCCGAAACAAAAGCAAATGTTGCTACTGGGGGCCCCCCAGGGGGCCCTCAAGGGGGCCCCCCAAGGGGCCCCCCTGCTGCTGCTGCTGCTGCTGCGGCCGTGGAGCTTGACACGCTTGCTGCTGCTGCTCTTGCTGCTGCTCGCTGCGGCGCCTGCAACTGCAGCAGCAGCAGCAGCAGTTGCTGCTGCTGCTGCTCCCGAGAATAGCTTCATAAGCAAGGGTTTAAAGCCGCTCTTGCTTCTGCTGCTGCTGCTGCTGCTTCCGTTGCTGCGCGCGCTGCTGCTCCCGTTGCTGCTGCTGCTGCTTCTGTTGTTGCTGCTGCTGCGTTGCTGCTGGCTCGGGGTGTCGACTGGCGGCGGGAGTCTTTGTAGCTGCTGCTGCTGCTGCTGCCTTTGCTGCTGCAGTTGCTGCCGTTGCTTCCGCTGCTTTTCTCTCTGCTGCTGTTGCTGCGCCGAATGCCCTGTGTGCCTTCTTGCAGCAGCAGCA